GTGCCACTGAATTAGGGACAGGTAGTGAATAACGAGTTGGGCCTCCTTTGGCCTTTATAATGGCTGCCAAACGACGAAGCATAGATTCAATAAGATTCTGAAAGACAATTTATGACAGAGAAGTTAAAAGAATGCTCATCGACCAGGCAGTAGCCAACCAGGACCTGGGAAAGGTGCAGTTATCTTGCTGGGATACTCCATTTCCGTGTTAATGACAGGACAACATAAATGGATGGAGATGATCGCCCAGCAACTCTATGTACCGAATCATATTATGGGAGGTTGCTACTGGTACCAAAGATCCCAAACACTGCCAAGAGAAAACATCCCACACCATGATTAAGCCACCATGATTCCTTGTACAGTTCCAATCTGCCATACAGGATTCATGCCTTCATGAATCTGACGCCATATTCTCAGCCTCCCATCGGTCAGTTAATTAGTCAGAATCAAGACTCATCACTCCTTGCTACTCATTTCAAGTCCACTACAGTCTATTCTCTGTATTATCTTGTCCAGGCAAGAAGTGCAGCTCGATGGTATGCATTCAACAAAGGTACTCGCGTGGGTCTATGGCTTCCGAAGCCCATATGGTGAAGCGAGCGTTGCAGATCCTTTTACTGACTGTAGGACTGCCGCCCTGATTCAGCGGTGTGGTAATTTGAGCTAATGTTTGGCTTCGTTGACTATGTACAATACGGCTGAGCCGTCTCACACCACGCTTGTTCTAGGTTAATTGTCCTTTGCAATTTGCCCGATCGCTAGTTCTTTATCCGACCATCCGTGTATTCTCGGTTATACTCTTGACACCTTCGACCTTGAAAATCCTAGCCAGCTGAGGATTTTGGAAATTGAATGGCCCATGCATCAAGTGCCTACTATCTGTCCGAGATTGAAGCTGTCTAAATCAGAAATTTTACCCTTCCTGATAGCTGAAACAACTGATTAACAACAACCATAGTACTAGCTGTATGTACATTTACCACAACTTCATTACGTGTGCACAGATGCCACGCAGCGCTTTAAAATTTGCATAGCCATGTGTATCCCTACTTCAGTGTATTGACATTGTTCTAAAACTAGAGAGCTGTTTAAGCGAACAACACACCAAATACGATCTAGATCCAGAGTTATATTTGAATTTGCCGCCCACAAAAGTTGCCGCCCGGGGCAAGAACCCCGGCTTGCCCCCCGCTAGTTCCGGGACTGATAGTAACTACAGTATCTCAGAAGACATTCATGTAGTTTCTAAAAGAGAAATATTTAGTCTAGATCAGGCCAGTGATAATAATAACAGTTAAAAAAAAGGAAAAAAAATGTTAGCATGAAGGTTAATGCTACGAACCAAGTTTTTATTAATTAATTTATTTATTTTTAGCAATTTTGAACAGCTGTTGATAACCCTCTACACTGCTATTTATAATTGTCCCCGTCAAGTAAATAAGAACTCTTTTAAATATTTTGTTTTATTTCTCATGTTCTATTCTGGCTAAAATCCCAATGTAACTGCATGCTGTAGGAAAGCGAGGGAAATATTTTAACTCTTTGTTCAAGTATAATGTTTGTCTTCTTTATTGTAATATACTGTTGCGTGCGTACGAGTTCGAAATAGCTTGAAAGCACACAGAATTGATGATAGCTTGATAAAATTTATTTTACCAAAAGAAACAGTTCACAGTTTTGGAACTTTCCAGTAAAGTACTGATGCAGCTCTTCACAGTATCACAGTGTACAATCAATCAGTTATTACACTTCAAACTGCTAAGAACGTTTATCATAACGCGATGCAAAGCGCATCTAAAAGGCGAAGCTCTCTCGGATATCTCAATACTCCGAATTCAGCTCTGAACTAGCAACTAAGAGCTGATGCTCTCTCTGGTCTTATGTCGTTTTCACTCGGCCGGTGATAAATCTTTGGTAGATTCCATTTCTCGAAATTACTGAAAGACATATGGTTAAAGTTGCATCTAAAGGCCAGATACGGTTACCGTTGCATTTATAGATTAATTACAGTTATTCAATTGTAATACCCATTACATTTATATATGAACCGGACCCAAATATCGCCAAATGGTAGCCAAGTTTTGCAACTTTTGACGAATTTCGCCAAATTGTCATTTCTTGCCAATTTAGCCAGAAAGCCATTTACGGAAGAGCATCCTCTTTTTAGATTTTCATGTTACATTATACAAATTAAAAAAAAAAAAAAAAAACCTACAGTTCCACATACGACTTTACTAAAATTATCTACATGTGTACAAAATTCGTAACATTATGTAATAAAAATTCATTTGTGTGAGGTATCTGTACAAATTTAAGTACTCGATTAAATAATCGATCTTACTTTAACAATAATACTTTTTATATATTTAATAATTTGATTTTAATAGGTAAATGAAATCTAACAAACCACAGAGATAGTTTTATAATTACAATTTGATAGTTAGGGATTTTGCACCTTGATAATACGCCTTTCCACAAAACTCTTACTGTTGTTTTTGTTTATGAATTTTCATAGCCTAAAACTCAATAAATACTTGGCTTCATATTACTCCTGATACAGAATCGTGTGAACAAGGGGTAAAATTTTGGCTTCATGGTTATTATTTTTAATCTGTTGATGAAATAGAATGAAATTCGCTACTAGTCCTCAAAAGGTTTCACAAAACCTACTTTAAACCATGTTCCTTAGAATCGAAAATCTTTGGCATAAGTGCATTACTTTGAAAAGGATGTAATAAATATTGAATTATACGCTGAAATTTAATGTTTTTTGGAATCATTCTCTATACTTTTTTGACCACAGTAGTGCCTTTCTCTGTATATATCTGTATTATACATCGTATGTTTTTAAGCAGAGAAGATAAAATGATGATTGGTCTTCATTTAATGCATACTGATCCATTGTAGTCATCTTATACACAACAAATTAAACTTGAAATGGATGTGTGTAAGTTTTGCGCATTATTTTACACCATTTTTTTTAATAAAATGATCGTTAAGGATATCATGCTTCAGCTTCCGCCAAATAGATCACTTGAAGGGTTTGATCATGTTAGTTTCTAGAGATAAAGGAAACTTTGATTGTGTTTTGCGTCTTCTTTGGACTCATCCAACACGTTTTTGATGAGTTTTGCTGTGTAAAAAAGAGTATTACCTTTCAAGTGTACGGGAACATAGTATATTCTGCAAAACTGAATGTGCAAAGGCATGTGGAATACTCAGAAACATCTAGCATATTGTATGATTATAGCCCCTAAAGGAATCCTAATGTAGTCATTCTTACAATACAGCTCCAACTCAGAACTTTTCATTTCGGAAAAAGTTGCTAGGATGGACTTTGTTTGGCATCTCTATATGTTGTGAAGTATTTTCTCACTCCTTAACACCTGCCTTCGTGGTGTAATAGAAAGCCCATCTAGCTAGCAGTTGGGAGATCCGAAATTCGAATACAGGCGTGGACATTGTTGATTCTTCACGTTTTCTGGTTTCTAAAAAATTCTACATGCCTAACCTAAAATGTGGCCCTGAACTAAAATGTCGCGAACGATAATTCATCATCACCAGAATTTGGCGACTGGGCCCCCACTTCCTGAATCGCCCTTTAAAAAGAGCACAATGTAGGTATTTTCTCCCTTCTTGTCGCGTGCCATCATGATGTAACTGGAAGTACGTCCGGCTAGCAGTAGGGAGGTCTGAAGTTCGAATCCTGGTTAGGGTACCTTTCATTTTTCAATGTTCCTGCTTCGAAAAAACAAGTGACTCTACAATGTAAGCACTTACACAGGAAATATATAAAATGTTTTATACATAAAACAGGCTGGAAGATGAAATGAAAACAGATCTTTAGCTGTTGAACTAAACTATTAGTTTTCAGAGGCTCAGTTCCGGTGTTCTGCGACAGTATATAGCTTGGGACAATAATTTATTTTGGCTGCGAGGAATATTCTCTTATAAGCAAATCAATTTACTACTCAGTTCTAAGTCCAGAATTATGAACACTTATAGAAAATAAAGATGGGTTTTGTATTTTCCGTTTTAACTGACCTAACAGAAATATTTTATTTTTAATATTTATAGTTAAAATGTCTGAATAGGATTAAAGTAATGAAAGGGGAGAGTGGTGAAGAATTGCATCTCATTACCATTGTTACGTAATAACCCTCATTATATAGTTTTAATTTTCAGAAAATGGAAGGTATGTTACGTGGCTTCAGTAATGTCATTTGGTATTAATAGTTTCATATAAGAGAATGTTTCATGTTGTCTCCAATAATGAAGAACTCGCATTATGTAATGCATTGCTAACCACACTTAATATGTTTAAATTTTATATTTTTAGCCTGCGTTGCTTGTTTTTTCGTATTTGATTAAAAATATATAATGCTTGCTTTTAAGTTGCTTGCAACTAAAATGAAATCTATCAATAATTTCTATTGGAGAATCTAATTCTACTTAGGCATTTCGACGAAAGATCATTTATTCAGTTTTATCTGTATTAATACTATAGCTTTCTATATTTGCATCCAAATGCAATAAGAACGTGCTTTGGGACCAAAAAAAAAAAAAAAAATTGCATTCAAATTATATTTCGCGTCAAAAGCTGTTTACTTATTTAAATAAGGTGTGCTTCTGATATTAGTATTTGTCATAATTTCAAATGAAATTTAAACTCTTATCTTCAGTATCGCTGATTGTATCACCTAACCAAAAGCTCTTTCGCATTCTAACTCTGGGATTAGGCACGGTTTGTAATACTGTAATATTTTGTTCTTATTTTGTCTAAGTTTTTCTTCTAGTTGTTTATTTTGTATCTATCTTCTTACCTAAGAACAAATTTACAAAGGCTTTTAGGATATTGTAAATATAAACTGTAGAGTAGGATGTAGACCCTGTATGCACAATTTTAGCTAAATTCTTTTCTAAAAGTGCCCAGCAATAGACACTAAGGAAATAATATTTATTTATTCTTTTATTATTATTATCATCATTCATTACAGGGTGAAGCCATCCTTTTGGAAGGTTGCCAGCAAAGCAAGATGTCCTTCACACGATCCTCCTTCAAGTCCTCTACCTATCAGTATACGGATGGTAAGTGACTCCATCTAGACGTACGTTTTAGTATTAGAGAACAGAATTAAAGTGGGGATTTACCTTTCTTTTGTATACAACTCTTATCTTAGCCAAAAATTTAGTTGGTATCAGTGTAAAAGGTCTTAAATTAGAATTACATTTTCCCAGTTCTTATTTGATATTCTATTTCAGATATTATAAAAGAATTACATATTTAAAGTTTAGATTTAACGCCAGTTATGATTTTGCTTTTCTCGCAGCCATTTGTAACAGAATTTCATGCACTCATAATTATGGTACTTTCAGATTTAAAAAATCTGAACATATTTTTTGTTTCGATCACAAATAATTATTGAGAATTGAGATTTTCATAGCATTAAATTAAAATTTTGTATTACTTATTTTATTTATTAAAATCATTGACAGTAATCATGACAGACCCCGTTTCAAGTTTCACATACAAATTTTTCATGACTTCAGGTCTTTTAATTGACAAAATGTACTTATTTTGCTAATTTAAAGTGAAAATTTTAGATGGTCAATTAAAAAATATAATGGGATTTATAAGTTACCATGTCATTTCAAATTTCATTTATATTTAGCTTATTTTTACAAAATGATAATTTAGATGAAAAGAAAACTCTAAATTCTTTCTCAGGGAAAAAGGTGAGAATGTATGCCTTTTATTTCTGCAGAAATATAGAATGAATCAAGTTTGTAATATGAAAGAAGATTAATTGTGTAATCTCACTGGGAAAATCTTTTTCCTTTTGTTTTTTCAGACACCGCTACATCTCTTCGCAGTTCATCTGCGACATCTCGGATATCCTCGACCACCTTTGGAGAGGAATCCATATCCTATCATCGCTCATCTAGGATGACTAGAACGGTGGGGGAGCTAGATGATGATAGTCTCTCGCTTTCAACGACAGCTAAGAGGACAAAACTAAGTTCTGCTTATGAAGCTGATGAATCCAGCCTCTCTATGCCCAGTAAAGCAGCTATCTTTTCTAACGCTTTTCAAACAGAGGCACCTACAGAGATAAAAGTAAGAGAAATAAGACATGATTCGATGCTGATTTTTTCCGTCGCCTAACACTTAGTGCTCATTTACATTGTCAGAGAAGGTTCTCTGTCTTATTTTAAATCTAAGAAATGCTGTTAAAATGAAATCAATCAAAATATTTTGTTTCTCTTTGTAAATCTACAAAAATAATGACCTTGAAACGCACAATATTTTCTTGTAAATGTAATAAGCAAAGACATTTTTTAAAATTTTTTGGTGGGAGGCTGTTGTAAATAGCATTTTAAACAAAGACTCAAGTTATTCTTATGCTTATGTTTCATTTTTTATTCTCATTTTTTTGGTATGTTTACTTTCTCGGCAAAAATTGTCTAGGCTAAATATTTGGCAAGCAGCACTGTAAACTATTTTTACAAATTATTAAATCATTTTAGTACAGACTAGCTTTATATTTTTTAAATTTAATTGGTTGTTATAATAATGATCAGAACAGAACTAATTGTAGTTTTGAGGATGGAAAGAATGGATTTTAATGTAGTACAGATATGACATGGATTATATGTTTTCTCTCATCCGGTGATAAGTTATTATTTTAAATATGGCAGTGCAAATTTTTGTTTTGCTTGTAGAGACATTAGGTATTTTTGCAAGCAGGAGATGAAAAATGAGCAATGCCCTCGCCAGGACTCGAGCCCACGGACCTCTGCCGAGTGTGTTGGCCACTACACCACGAAGGCATACTAAGAAGGCGGGAGAAATACCTTATATGCTTTCTATTATTAGATATTTAAGCAAATATTTGCATAAACTTTGAACTAGTTGAGGAAAATTCTGACGGGTATTTAACTTCAGCTTCAGTCAATATCAGTTTTTAGCAAATTTTTCGTCACTGTCTGACGTAGTTGCTAGCTAGTCTAAAAGTCGTCTTTCTTTCCGAAACATTTATGTATTACATTTTTTGAACTAACATACTGCATTTATGAATAAATTATAAATCGACTAAAATAAACAGAGATAGAACAAAGAGGCAACTGAAGAAACTATAAAAGAAGACGAGAAGAATAAATACGTATGGAGAGATTGATTATGTCACAGACAGACACAACAAATTCTCTATGGATTAAAATATTTTTTTTTAATGTCAGAAGGAAAACGTTCATTCACCTAACCAAATTTCTTGCCATTTAAAAAACAGAAAATTTAATAGAAGGCACAACTTGTGCAAACAGATAGAGGTAGAAGCTAGGACAGCACATTTGTGTTATCACAGATGATTGAAGTATTGCTGTACCAAGTTAACTAATAACCTTCGTCTCGATTTGAAATTCCAAAGGAGAACATCCCGTGGGGGCCGATGCGAGGGTCTCTCACCCCTCTTTCCTTGCCACTAGCTCTCGAGAAGATTTTGGCTCACGATGTATTTTGAATGCCACTTCGCCACACAGGTGCTATACATTTACAAATGTCCATTGTGCATTCAGTCAAACATTTGCAGGCATTAAACAGGAAATTAAAATGCAGTCTAAAATGAGTTCGTAGCTGGCCTAACTAAGCTGGTTCAGACTTTAATGGTGCGATTTAACTTCGGACACTAAATGGACAATGCCGAAATTGTATTAAGTGGCAGAGCTGAGAAATAGAAAGTAAAGTTGCGAACGTTTCAGCCAAAAACACTATAATTAAAACATTCGGAACCCTCGCCTTAATTAATCATATGTCTCATTTGAATCCTGGTGGAGGCTAACAAAACGGACAAGTTATAGTAAAAATACAAATCATAAAATTGGGTTAATTAACATAAACTACCTTACAAAATTATCACGTCTTTTGGCAAAATGAGCGTCAAAAACACTGAAGGCAAAGATTTAGAGACATTAGGTATTTTTTTGAAGCAGGCTAGATGAAAAATTAGCAACGCCTTCTCCGGGAATTGAACCGCGGACCTCTCAATTACGCGTTGAGCGTGCAGACCACTACACCACGAAGACTCGCCAAGACGGTGGGAGAAATACCTTATAAGACATGGATATGAAATATTTACGAAATGCTTGAAATAATACATTGAACGTATGAAATATTTACAAAAGCAAGAATAGCAATGATCATTATTATTTTTATTTATAAAATAATATTAAAATATAAGTAAAATGGATCTAGTCTTATATTTACCTTATTAAACATAGAAAAATATTAAATTTAGGGGCGCAAATTGTTATGATCCTAGTAGTTATAAGACCAATGAGGAAAATTATAAAATAATGTTTTTTGCATTTGGTAAAATAAGTTTTTTTTCGACGCCCCCCCCCCCCCCCGCTACAGAAGTAGTTCAGGAAAACATTAGCACAAATGGTGCTACAAAAGCAATGCCTTTTTTGAACATCTTAAGCATATATATTAATTTAACAAATATTCGTATAAAGCAAATTTAAAATTTAATTGAGAAATATTAATTGCAAAGAAATAAAAATAAAATAATTATTATTGCTGCGAACTAATTTACAATATCATTTAAATTCTAAGAGCATATGTAAATTAATTGTACTTATATAAAACAATATATTATTCCAAAAATTAAATTTATTATTCCTAAAAATTGCATAAGTGAATAATTGCTGAGCAGGTAGGAGACAGACTTATCAAGGGGAAGTTGCCCCCTTACCTAACTCTTCAATTACTCAATTCGTGTTTCGTCATCCATATAGACAAAGATAAAAGTAAAATCAAATGTTGTGAGTTACAAAAAAAGAAATTTAAACAGTGGAATTTTGAGAAAATAGCAAGTAAATGACTAGAGTTAAAATTAATTAAAAGTCAATTAAGATCAGAAAAACAAAGTAATTTAGAAACTCTTGCTTACAGGAAACTTCCTCTACACGAATTATGCATGTAAACCTAAAAAATAAACTATATAAAACAATTGAAATATAAAAATATAAATATAAAAAATAAAAAGGCAAGTAAATAGCAAGTTCTAAATCAACTTACCTAGTTTTGAATTTCTGAGCTGTGCCAGCATTTGCTAAACAAGTGGAGTTGAGTAGTTTGTACTGCTAACTATAAAAATACAGCTCTCTAATACAATGTAAAGTTGAGTGCAAAGCTGCTACCTGTGAGAGCTATTGTAAAAACCATGTTGTAAATCTCAAAAAAAGTAAAATGCTTGCTAGTGTGCAAAAATGTTGCCAACTATGAGTCATTGTAAAAAGTGTAAAAGCAAAAAAAAAATATGTAAAAAAATGCACTGCTACTGTTTGTGAAAATAAGATATTGCAAACAACTAAAGAGTAAAATTATTTGAAAAAAAATTTGTTAGTAAATAAAATTTCGAAAATAGTTTTTAATTGAATTCGAATAAATAATTTTATTTAATTGAATAAATTTAAATACAATTAGAATGGAAAAGAAAATTACCAACTGAAATAAAGAATTATTGTAGGAAATTTTTTGTACTAGACTGCATTATTTAAAACTGAAGTTACAAGTTCAATCAAAACTTTAACTAATTTCTGGCCAAAAGTAAGGAAATTAGAAAATTAAATAAAAATCTTCACTCAGTTCGGGCTGTAATTGAGACTTTTGAGAAAAGTTGGCCCTTCATTAGTAAAAGGAAAGAATACGGTATTGATAAAATATACACTTTTACAAAATATTTACAAGTAATCCTTTAACTCTTCAAAATCCTCCATTACCCTTCAGTTAAGGTTTAAAGTAATATTATCATAACATAAAGAGTTAAAAAACTAAAAAGAAAAGTTAATGCCTGCCTTTTTAATAAAGAATTTAATAAAATATTTTGGGACCTGGTTATTAAATTGAACATTAATTAGTTTTATTATTGCTGTCTTTAAATTTTCTATTTCAGTACATATATTTTTAATTCTAATTTTTTGGCTATATAAAGTGCTGCCTATTACTTTTTTAGAGATATTAGAGTTCCAGTTAATAGTTTCAAACAGGAATGTCCTCCTTTTATCATATAATTTAATTTTGTTGTGTTTAATTATGAGCAGGTGTAGGTATTCAATATTCTCTTAATCCGTATTAGTTCTATTAAGTATTAAACTATCTGGGTAAATTTTAAATTGTTCAAAAGCTGAATTATTAATGAAAGTTTTAATATCATCAGTGTATCTGAATGTATTTGCAAATAACTTTAATTCATTCTTATTAAAACTAAGTTGGAATTTAAATTCATTAGCATAAAAAAGGTTGCATATTTGTGTAGAACTGTTCGCTCCCATTGGAATTCCTTCTACCTGCTGAAAGATCTTATTATTGAATTTAATGTAATTATTAAATAAGGGACATTGCAGCTAAGTTTTCCATCTTTCAATTCAGAGGATGCTTAGCATGTCAGGAAAAAGTTGTGGGAGTTGCATTAAACTAGTATAAATTTCGTCCAATAGTAGAGAAGTATAAAGGTTTTCAAAGTAATAGCGGTTAATGTTCTTGATTTCTAAACTTTTAAATTTGCTGAGAACTGGAGCGTTATTATAAATAATCCAACAAGAGTTGTGCTGCTTGTCAACTAGTTGATGAATTAAAATACAGAGTTTTTGAAGTTTAATCGTAAATATGTAATCTATATTATTTTTATAATTATTTGTACCATTTGCCATAAATCTAAATTTAAGTGGTGATTTATTGCATTTTGGAAGAGCATAAAGATTTGCTAATCTATTGTAGTTAGATGATTGTGTAATTAGTAGTTTCTTATGAATTGCTTTAAGATTTTTTGCTATGACATTTTCTTGCATATTGGTAAGTTTGTAAGTAATGGCATTATTCAGTTCAGTGTCAACTAGTGAGACATAAAAAAAAATTTTCAAATAATGCTGCAATTATTACTGGCTTTGTCAATTTTGGTGATTACGAATTTTTGCTTCAAATCTTGTGTTAGAGAATTGAGAAAATTCCATGCAAAATTGCTGTTAAATTCTATCCTTTGAATACTTTGCCTCATTTCTTCTAACACTTCATGTTTCCAAGCCATAAAGGCAGAATTTGGAATATTTAATTTGTAACTAGTTTTAACTATGAACTCGTCAAGATTTTTTACGAAACTTCTAAAACATTGATTTTTGCCAATTTTCAGTACAGGTCGAAATTTTGTGCCTTTTTTCATTAAATTTCTTAAAAGCTGGTTTTTAACTATTGTTAAATTGCCAGTAACAATATGTTTATGAAAATCGTCTACCTAGTCTTTATATTGAAGTTCTTTGCAGAGCTGTAGAAGCTAGATCGTGGTGGTTAATTAGCAATTTGCTAAGAGGTTTTTGATACTTAAAAGCTGGTGAGATTTGTACTTTAGTAGC